CTGGGGTCAGCGGTGGCAGTGGCGGCGAGCTCGCCTCGGCTGGACCCTGGTCCACGCGCCCTGGGCGCAGCAGAAACCGCGTAGGGAGCGACCGCTCCCCTGGGAGCATTCCAGACCCAGGTCCTCCCAGGCAAAGACGTCCCACCATAAATAAATAAATAATGTCCAAACGGGGGAGGGGGAGCTGGAAAATGGATTCGCTGACAAGGAGAGATAATAAATGAGAGGCGCTTTCAGATAGATATCTCAGACGTGAAATTGCGCCCAGCTGGTTGTGTAAGCAAACAAATAGTTTCATGTTAGGAACTCTCAACTTGTGGCTTGATGAATAGAACACGACAGAGGTAAATGGGTCTTTAACTCATTTAGGAATACAACTCTTTGGCTTTCCAAGTAAAAGGCCCAGTGACGCCACGGAGCCTGAGCAGGCCCTCTAACAAGAGTTTTATTAGTTCCCACTTGTGTCTCCCTGCATACCCTCCCCACGCTCCTCCATCAAGGTTTCCCACGGCAGAGGCATTCAGGTGATTTGTTTTGAGGAATCCAGGAGCTTATGGAGGTGAGTCTGCCACTGCAAGGGATATAAGGACTGCCTGTAAGCGGAGGAGGAGGAGCATTTTAAAAAATAAATTTTGCACGCTCCAAGCAGACGAGCTCAGGTAGGCTTGGATGGAGGGGCCTCCAGACCCTCAGTGCAACTGAGCGCAGAGCTTGGTGGAGGGGTTCCTAGGAGCGGACTAAGACCCTTGGTGGCTGCCAGAGATCGAGAGTCTGAACTATTCCGAGGGGCAAAGTCCCGGAAGCCCAACGTTGTTCTGGCGGCAGGGAGGGAGGCCCTTCTCCATCTCCGTGCTTCCGCCAGGCCCGGTTGCAGGTTGGGATGTGCGCGTGGGGGCAAAGTTCGTATTTTAACTCCCTTGCGCCAGTCCTTGTCCCTTCCGTGGCAGATAAGGCTCAGCCAGGCTCCCCAGAGATTTCCAGGGGAGAGCAAGTCCCGAGACAGCCTTTTTGATGTTTTCAGCAAGACTGTGGCTAAAGTAGTTTAAATCGACTTCAAAGCCCCTAAAATTCTAAGTCGCCCAGCAAGTGTTTGGGTTAGAAATGGAAACGTTTGACTTTCATATGTCACAGGTAATTTCCAGAGAGAAGTCACCTTGTGTGTTCCGCTCTCCAGCTGTTAAGATGTATTTTCTCTGGCCCTGGGGGGGCCCGTCGATTCTCCCCCGCCCAGTTAGGCCAGCCCTACCCTGCCGAGTCCTTAGTGCTGCGTGCCCCCAGCTGACTGTCAGGCCTACCCCTTCCTGCCGCCTCATACCCGGGTCCCAGGGCTCCCCCTGGCGCTTGGCTGGAAGGTGGGCTCATTGCTCAGGGGCTTCCGGGCGGCCACCCAGGCAGAGGAGGCTCCCACCTGCTTCACATGGCCTTCTGCCCAGTGGCTCCTAAGGTCTGAGGAAGCACAGGACACTGAGCGGTGTAGGGGGCAGCCCAGCCTCGACTGGGGCTGCTCCTCCGCACTGCGAGGAGGCCTCAAGCCGCTCCGCCCTTAGTGCTCTGGCCGCAGCCACTGATCAGCCCAGCTGAGGAGTTTTAGATGGCCCGGGGCAGAGACAACGCTTCCTGGTTGTCAGGAGGCTCAAACGTGGCTCAGATACCTCTGTCTCAGTTGCTAAACCTTCCCTTAGAGCGAGCAGATTCACGGGGCCGACTGCGTGCTCTGAGAGTGGAAAGTCTCAAGTCGGATCGCGGACAGCCTCTCCTTCTCTGCAGGGGCGCTCATGGCCCTTGAGTCCCTGGAAGGCTCCGTCTCTCTGAGACACACAGAGCCCTCTGAAGCTGAATGTCTCTCTGTGGATAATGCATGTGAGACTGTCCCAGCCACTACGGAGACAGCAGAGGAGAAACCCATTGCCTGCCGGGCTCCAGAGGACCCCGCCCAGCTCAGGAGGAGCGCATCTCTTGCCCTTCCCTTCTGCTCAGCCCCGAGGCCTCCTGGTTCCTAGACCAAACCTGTGAGGGAGTCTGTGAGGCAGTAGGAAGGCCTGGTCTTCTTTTGCTGTGCTAATCACCCCGGTCTTAGGCCCAAGTTTAGAAAGGTCGCTGGGATTTCTCAGGCTGTGGGCAACCCTCCTGACCCCTTTGGGCAAGAGCCCAGTTAGCACTGTCATCTCTGGGCCCTGGAACAAGTGCCAGCCCTCCCATGCGCGGTGCCTGGTGCTTGGGCCTCCATATTGAAATTAATTGAAAAATACGTTTCCGACCTATGAAAATGTTTATCTGTTTTCATCAGAGGGATCACACTGTAATGAATATATTTACATCTCATTTCAAGAAAGGCAGGAAAGATCGGTGAGCGCTTGGAGGCAGCTCAGCTCCCCTCCCCCCGCCTTGCCCCAGCAGCAGCCTACCCCACCCCAATTCCCACACTCCCTGGGAGGGCTTCCAGAGACTTTCTGGGAGGTGGTTAGCAGTTAAATATGAGTTCTTCCTGCACTCCTCCAGCCTTGGGTGCCCAATCTGCAAGGAAGTCAGCCTAGGATCAAAACCGTTGCCCCTGGGTGTGGTGCAAAGGATGAAGCTCAGGGCCAGGTGGGATCTGCTGGAAGGCAGGAGAGCCCCAGCCACTGAGGGGCTCCACACCTTATACCCTCCATAGCCCAGCCACCCTATGGTATCAGCCCAGTTCCCAGGCGGACTTGCAGGGCTTCTTCACAGAGAGCATGGCATTGCCAGGCTGCACTGCTCCCAGAATATTAAAACTTTAGGTGGGTTAGAGCTTGTTAATGTATTTTTTAAAAGGTGGGGCAACCTGGAAACTTCTAGACAGCAAATTGAGAGCAAAACTTTGCCAACGACTTCTGAAAGGGAAGCTCTTGCCTTATCCAGACCTATTTGTGGCTGGGGGAGGGGGAAGAGGCGAGAGGTGTTATTTTAAAAGATCTGGCTTTATTAGTATGTTAAGGAAACGCTCCCTTGGCAGTATGTGTTCTCTCAGTGCTGACTCGGATCATATAAAACATTCATGCTCTGAAAGCTGTTAGAGAGAGCAGCCCCCCACGCAAACCCAAGGAGAGACCTCAGTGGGAGGTTTCTGCCCTGAAAGGGCCACTAGAACTCAAATGTCACTTCTGGAAAGAATCTGCTCCAGCCTAGCTCCTCAACTCCTAGGTTCTAGGTCCATACCCCTAAGTACCATAGTGGAGCCCTTCTGGCCACTGTGGGCCCTCCAGGGAACCCCTGTTCCAGGGTCTGCAGTGAAAAGCAAACCATAGCCAGCTCCCAGCAGCTACCTGGGGAGCAGGGGAGCAAAGCCAGGGCTCGAAGCTCTGAGGCCTCAACTCCTGCCCAGAGCTGGGGAGACTCCGACCTTCCGGTCACAGGCAAGGTGCAGAGAAGTCTGAGTGGCCTTTTCCATCCTGAAACCCCCACGTCCAGGGCTCTATGCCTCTCCAGCCAGGCAAATTCCCACCTGCAGTCACTGAAGCAGGCAGCGCAGACTTGGTTCACAGGGCACCTACCCCAGCCTCGGGCCCAGCTCCGTGCCAGCTGCCTACCACCTACAAGTTCACAAAAGCTGCCTCCAGCAACAAAGTGCCCTGCCCTCCCTGCTCACCCTGGCCCCCGAAGAGCCTGGCCCTGTGAATTTACAAAACCAAGACAGCTGCTTGGTTTTAGGAAATAAATCTAGCCAACTTGGTAACGGACCTTAAGAGTCCTCCCACCCCAACTTTTCCCATTCTAATAATTATTGGGGTGGAAATTGGAGGGTTTTCTTGCACTGATGACATCTGTCAAGCAACCGGACACATGGGTTTTGCTAAATTCTTTTATTTTTTTGTTTAAATTTTCACTTCAATTTTAATTCTTGAAGAACAGCCTTGACAACATATATCGCACTCATTATAAGAAGCAAAGGGTTATATCAAAAATTATTAGTATAGAATCACAGGAAATCTGGTTTGGAACCAGAAAAAAATACAAAACAGATATAGATACATAGACACAGGACAATTTTTTATAATTATCTGGAAAATGTTATTTTCCCCTAATTCTTGTTTCTTTTTTTATGTGCATACGATGTTTAAATTTTACAAAAAAATGAAAATAAAGACTAGTATTTTACAAAATGAATAACAATGTTTGGGGGGGGTGTGTGTTTGTGTGTGTCTGTGTGTGTGTGTGTTTCTACATAGGATTCAGTCCACCTCCATGTGTGTTGTTTTCTGTACAGAATATATCCACATCCGTCCACAATAAATCCTGGAAGGTCCATTAGTCTCCTTCTGTTTTATTAAAATTTTCATGGTCCTGTCTTCCAAAATCGTTTTTCTTTTCCTCACCAGACACAAGGTCCTTTTTTCTTTCCTTTCCAACGTGTTCACAGATCTGATCCTAAAAAGAGTCTTTTTCTCCTGGTTTGCAGCTCGGGTTGCATTTGTGCAGGGTGGGCTGCTCCTGTCGTCCCGGCCCTCCTCCCCTCTGCCCGGCCTGCCCGGCCGCTGCACCCTGCATCAGCCGCCCGCTGTCCCTGCGGCTTTGGAGTCCAAAGCCCCCGCCGTCCTCTGAGTCTCTAGGGGGGCGGGGGCAGGTGGGAAGCGCCCGAGGTCTAGGAGCACTGGATGGACATGTAAGGCCAGTTGAAGCTGCTCCCAGACAGTAACATATCGCGGATGAGAGTTTCGATGGGGGTTTTACCTACCAAACGCACGAAGAAGAGCTGCTCGATAACCGAGGAGGACACGGTGCGCAGCGAGGGCAGTCGCAGAAGCAGTTTGCCGAAGCGGCTGGGCTGGTTAGGGTACTGGCTCCTCACGTACTCCTCCAGCGCGCACTGAGACTTCTCCTGCAGGCTTTCGATGTGGGCGGCATCCGACAGGCCACAGGCATCTGCCCGAGCAGCCACAGGAAGGAGAGACGAGGGGAGGGGTTACACCGTTAGGTCAGCGAACAGCGAAGTCACAAACAACGAGCCATTAATTTGTTTTTTCTTTTAAGGAGCAGAGGGGAAAAAAAGAGAAATAGAAGAAAAAAGAAAAGAAATCCTCCCGTCCGTGCCTCCCTACTCCTTCCTTACCATTTCTTCTCCCAGGCCCCAATAAAATAAAAGCAAATCAAACCCCACCAAGCCTAGGGGAGATGGAGAGAGGAAGTACACACATGCAGAGGCAGCAACCGCTCTAGTCCCTTTGTTTTTCCTCTTTCACCTTTGGATTAAATAATGTACGATGCTGGAGCCATGTTTGCTATGCGTAGCAACCTGTCCTCCGCCTGCAGGGGAGCATCTTTTCCACTGTGCTCATTAAAGGGAGGACTTCTGCCCCCTTTGCCCCTGGTTTTGGTGTGTTCAGGAGCCCTGAAGAAATATGCAGCCTGGAGGCGGTTCTAAAAGGCTTCTTAGAGTCCCCCTCTGAAACCCAAATGACCCCAACCAGAAACCTCAAGGAGAACCTGGATTGTATAGTGAACAGACATGGGAGGGGGTAAGAAATCATGGGCTGGAGTGCCTGGAATCAGACCAAGCCCAAGCTTTAGCAGTACAGAATTTGTGATCCACTATCTATGCAAGCAAGGACTCTGCAGCACGTCCTAAGTAAGGGTATACACTTCTATCTGTGCCTTAGATCAAGTAATTGAAAATTGGTCACATCTCTGTAAGCTGTATAATAATCAGGAGGAATATGGCTCAGTTACTCCAGGCTGCAGAAAGGAGACGTCTTCATGATCAGACACAAAGCTGGGCTGCAGGCAGCCGTTGCTGCTTGAGAACCGAGAGGTGGGGAGTTGAGGGAGGACTTGGGGAGATAGGCTTCCTGCGGCAAGACCAAGGGAGAAAAAGGCACCTGTACACCATCTCAAAACATCAACCAAGGCTCCTTCTTGTTCTCCTTAAAATATTTCAAGACAGCAGTTTATACTCTATCAACTAACCAGAGGCAAGCAAATGAAAAGGAAGGTGGAATCACAGGAATGAAGTGAAGGCTTCCTCTCCAAGTTCAAACACCCGCGTTGTTTCTTATATTAATAATAAATATTTTTAAAATAGGAAGATCACAGAGGATCCCTTAGCCAGTCAGGAGGTTGACTAGAGATCAAAGGCAGAGTTTGCTAATATATAGATCTGGGAAGAAATTCATGCATGGCAGTGCCCCCAAAAGGGCATTATATAATTGAGAGTGGGCAAGTGTGACTCTAAGAAGACACAGCAAATGATTCAAAATGAAACGTGTGTCTGCTAAGTTTCTGAGCTTTATGTCTCCATATTTCAAGAACTGGGATTTACAAAGCATTCTAATACCTTCATCTATAAGGCTATGGCCTTGAGCAAAAATACAAATAAACCTAGTGATAATTCAGGAACTTCTGAGGCAGGTCTCCTTTGACCCCAGATCCAGACTGGGTTCCTCTCAGATGTATAATTACACTAGCCAGCCATTTATGTGCATCCACACTCGCTTGACTTGGGAAGTCAGTGAGATTTTATGGCTAGCAGGGTGAAGGCACGAGCACTTTGGGGCCTTGATACTTAGAGAGGGGACTGTGAGGCCTGCCCTTGGCCTTGCATGCTAACCTGGTCTTGCTGAATGACCGCCATACAGACTCATATTTACTTATATCTTACTTTACATGCATTATCTGCCCATAATGCCACAGAATCCCTTTCAGCCTTAGACAGCGCAGTATGAAAGGGACCCATTGCTGCCCCAGCAGATTTTTTTTAAAGGACCCACATGGCATCTCTTCAGGTCTGTAAAATATTTATCTGATATTCACAATTGGGGCTCCCAGAGTGCAAGGTCACTACCTTCTCCCAGCTAGGCTACACCGAAGGAAACAAGCCCAGGGGAGGCATGCCTGGGTCCTGTGCTGGCTGTGTGAGTTCTTCACTCCTTCGGAGGCAGAATGCTTGTAGCTGGGCCCGGCTGCAAGGTGTCACCCGGCCAGCCTGGTGGCCTCCCTCAGGCAGGATCGGGCCTGGCTTCTCATTCTAGATATTCCTTCCTGCTCTGGGTATCTCTGCAACAGGATTCCCCCAACTGTGGACAGTCTGAGCTCCCAGATCCACTGGGTGGTTGTGGTAGCAAAACAAGGTGAGCAGGGTGTGTGATGCAGAACCAAGTTACACTCCGGGAGTTCTATCCCAGATAAGAAAAGGAGGCAGAACGTGCAAAATTCATGTCTCACTTTTTATACAGTAGTGTCAATGTGGGAACGCTCAATATTTCTTCTACAGTATATGGAAAAGAAATTATGTAAATAAATAACCACTACTGCTCGGGCCCTCCTGGCCTAGCCTTTGTAGTGCACAGAAAGTATTTCATGTTGTGCATTCAGAAGAGTTCAGTGTTCAGGAAATATAGATGTAATCAGCTGCCATAACTGGAAATCAAAGTTATTATTGTGCTGAAAATGGATTTATTGTATTTATGTTAACTAGATGGCTTCTTTCAGGGAAAAGTCTCATTTATTTGAGGGAATATTTAGGTGTATGAATTAATGAATTTTTTTTTTAAAAAAAGTAAGTTCAGGTCATGACCTAGTCGTTGGATGCTGTCCAGAATATTAAGGATTAAACATACCATCCGGAGGCCAAATGTGAAAACCACCACAGGGAACCCCCGTGCCAGCTTCAAATACTTAGCCGGAGCAAACTTCGTTGGACAATATGTCTAAAACTGTCTTTTCCATCATTCAAAGTTCACTTAAAAGTTGGATGATTTTGAGAAGGCTTCCCATGAATTCCCTTCTGGCTAGCAATCAAAACAAGTTTAGTCAAAAGTGGAAATGTGTTGTATGGAAGAGGGGGGTGAATTACTACTGACAGCTCTATTTCCATTTTCAGATATTCTGCTTGCAATTTTCGAACAAAATAATGTTATTGTTCACTTCTCGGCCTCCCTTGCACCTTGAAGACTTGGTTCAAGAAACTTCTTTGGGGAAACTTTTTTTTAAAGGAACACTTTTCCCAGGGACGGTTTAGGGTGGGAAGTTGAAAGAAAAGCATGAATAATTCCACAACCTTCCCCGCAGCCTGCACAGTCCTTGCCTCTCTCTGGGAAAGGGCATGAGATCAGAAAAGTCAAGGGGATTCAAAGAACCTTAGGGGGGGACAAGGAAAAGGAAGGTGAGACTTTTCTTGAGAAGACCTCTGTCCAGCTCCAAGTCACATTTCTACTTCAAGACACCTCACTAGATGAGATTTTAAAACTCCAGCTTCCCTGACACTGGCTTGCTTCCTGATTAATTTGGCTAAAGAGCCCGGTAGTGGAGAGCCAGCCAGGCCCCAGGCCTGCCAGAGCTAAACCAACCCGGTCGCTGCTTCCCAGGCTCTTTGTCACTTTTGAAAAACACGTTTCCATCAAGAAGACTTATTAAGATAAAATGCATTCAAACACCGAGGAGGCTATTCAATAAATCTTCCATTTGTTTTAAGTTCGCACTTTATCCTCTTGCAAAGAATAACTCCCTCTCCCACTAGCAGACCTGCATTTGCACTGAAAGTAAAAGGGGGGCAGTCCAAGTCCATGGCTCAGGCCACCCTGCATACAAATGAGATGCTCTTGTCTAAATAAATTATCTGCTGTTCAGATCGATATTAATACTACATTTGCTACATTACAATATTGTGCAAATTTAAGAGTCATTTTAATACAATGTAAATACGATTCTTCACGCATGAAAGCCAAGAAATATTGATAGATTATACCACTGCTTACTGTTCAACAAGGCCTTGGGAAAGGAGTTTTGCCATCTCTGCTCAAGAATGGTTTTAATTTGGCCTTTGGAGGTCCTGGCTCTAGGATAGATTTATTAAGATGGTTTATTTGTTCTCTGAATGGAGGAATTAAAAACAATAGCGCCAATAATGGTGGTAAAACTGCAACTATCCCTACTCACAGTGGGCAAGGCCTGAGACCCAGTTTGAGCAGCTCTGTTCCCCACCAGCGTCCTTTCTGGCTTTGTTTATATTGCCCCCCATTACCTGCTGTCCTGGGTGTTTATATGTTTCCCTCTTGCAGGTTACAATAATAAAAGGCGGGCAGTGTTCTCAGAGGCTCAGACCAGAGCCTTCAAAGGCAACGTTAATGCACTTTCCTGGAAGTTAATTTGAACCATCTATCATAAGAGAAATTGTTAACATGCATGTTACCACTGCCCACATTTAATTTGATATTTTTAAGGCACTCTGTTAAATTTCCAGTGTTCGTGCGTTTTGCATGCCTATGAGATTTATCCCAGGGTTAGGAATCCTTCCATACTTGCGGGTTCTACAGGATTGCTTTTGTTTTTTATCTTTCTTGTTTAGGTCGAATCCGCTTTTTACGACCCTCAATAACCTCAGCAACTGCAAACATGAATGGTTTCCGATAAGGGAAAATCAGGCAGCAATAAAGCGGGATTATTTATGATTTATTTGCACGTATTCTTCTCCCACCTCTCTCTGTTTGTCTCACTGTGTTGGGAAACTCAGCCGGGGAGCGTGCCACACAGAGGAGAAAGCCACATTCCCACGTTCTCTTCCTTCCTTCTCCTCCCCCAGAAACGCTAAGCTCTGGCACACACGCGCACGCACATCACACACACAAGCACACCGCACACACACGCAGCCAGACGGATCCACGGCACCGCCACCCCGCCCCCCA